GTACTTACTGACAACCCACAGGCTAGATAGTGTGAAGGCAAGCAGATAGTGCAGAAAGCTATCAAACCCCATTTCTACTGTTTTGAAAACCATTTTACAGAAACCTATGCCACCACATTTCCCTAACAGCTGCTCTTAGTTGCTATCAGAAGCCCAAATTAGCTTGCTACCCTATTTGGCCAAGAGAGATGATGTCCAGGACCAAAAGTAAGCCAGGCATGAGAGATGTCAAGTCTCAGCAACTTTCTTTAGGATCTGTTTTCCTGTTCCATGTCCCATCTCTGCTCTTTTCCCTGCCTGGCATAGGAGCGCAGTCGGACAGTGAGCTCCCATTCTACCATCAAAATGATGTCAGCCTGGACCGTGGGTATACTTCCGACTCAGAAGTCTACACTGACCATGGCAGGCCTGGCAAGATACACCGATCAGCCACAGATGCTGATATGGTCAACAGTGGTTGGTTAGTGGTGAGTCTACTACCATGCTGAGCCTGTAAGAAAGATTCTTGGTTCTCAGAGAGACATCTGAGGTGCCTTAGAACAGGGCCCCAACATGTACCATGTGTGTTTATAGGTGGGAAAGGATGACATCGAGAACTCCAAAGCAGGAGCAGGGCTCAGCAAGCCAGGCCCTTCACCCCTGGTGAATCAGTACAGCCTCACAGTGGGCCTGGACCTGGGACCACATGACACGAAGTCCCTGCTCAAGTGTGTGGAATCATTGTCCTTCATTGTTCGTGATGCTGCTCACATCACTCCTGACAACTTTGAACTCTGTGTCAAGACTCTCCGCATCTTTGTTGAGGCCAGTCTGAATGGTGGTAAGTCACCTATTGAAGGGACAGTTGGGGTGTGGATCAGGTAGAGAGGGGAGAAAGCTATGGGAATATGACCTAAGTCTGGCTCTGCTCAGGGTGCAAGTCCCAGGACAAACGTGGCAAGAGTCACAAATATGACAGCAAAGGGAACCGCTTCAAGAAAAAACCCAAGGAGGGCTCAATGCTTCGGCGGCCCCGAACCTCCAACCAACATGCCACTCGGGGTGGACATAGTGATGAGGAAGAGGATGAAGGTGTGCCTGCCAGCTACCATACGGTGTCTTTACAGGTCAGTCAAGACGTAAGTATGGCGCCCTTTACTTCTTCTCCTGCACCTGAGACTCAGAACTTGGGCAGAACCAGGGAAAGTCAGAACTCAGAAGGAATACCCATTGTATGCTTCCCACCCCCTCAACCACCATCCCTTATCGAAACCACCTGTAAGTCTTTGCCTATAGTACGCTTGTTCATTTGGAGACAGGATCTCACCACGTAGTGCTAGCTTACCTGGAAATTCCCCATGTATACTAAAACTCACACAGATCTATTTGCCTCTGCCTCCTGTGTACTGAAGTCAAAGGCATGTGCCATCACAGCTGGCACTAAATTAGTAGTTTTTGGGCTGGGGATTTATCTCAGTGGGTAGAGTACTTGTCTAGCATGTTCAAGACCCTTAGTTCAAATTTACATATTTAAAGACTTCACTTATTTAATACATGATACAAGGTTCAGAAGGTAGAAAAGAATAGATTGATAAGATTGCACTTCCATTTATTCCTGTATCCAGCCAGAGATCCCCTTACTAGAGGTGGTTACATCTCTAGCATTTTGTCTATCCTTCCATAGTTATTAAGTGTCTTTCAGGCTAACTTTAATTGACTAGATAAATGGACAGTTTCCTTCAGAGTAGCCTTAGAAAGATGATGAAAAGCCAGCATGGTGGTGCACCCCTTTAATCCCAGCACTCAGGAGGCAAAGGCAGGCAGATCTCTGTAAGTTCGAGGCCAGCCTGCTCTATAAAGGGATTTCCAGGACAACCAGGGCTATGCAGAGAAACCATATTTCAAGAAGAAGAAGAAGGAAGAGGAGGAGGAGGAGGAGAAGGAAGAGGAGGGAGGAATCGGGTAGGAGAAATAGCTCAGCAGTTAAGAGTGCCTACTACTCTTGCAGAGGACAGATGGACCAGCTTCAGTGGCTGTAACTTCTTAGAACTCCAGTTCAGGGAATCTGACACTCTTTGGCTTCTACAGGCACTTATGCACACATGGTGTACCTGAAGTCACATGGGCACACACACATAAGTTAATTTGAAGGCTGGAGAGATGTCCTGCAGTTAAGGACATGGACTGCTCTTCCAGAGGACCCAGATTCAGTTCTCAGCACCACACAGCAGCTCACATCTGTAACTACAGGTGCAGGGGACTCTGATGCCTTCTTCTGGCCTCTTAGGCACTGCATATACATGGTGCACAGACATACTGCAGGCAAAATACCCATACAGTATAAAATAAAAATAATTAAATCTTTTTAAAAATAGAATAAATATGTTCAGGAGGCAGAAGCAGGCAGATCTGAGTTTAGGGCCAGCCTGGTCTACAGAGCAAGCTCCAAAATAAGCCAGGGCTACACAGAGAAACCCTGTCTCAGTAGGGTGGGGGGTAATTTTTTAAAAAAGAAAACTGATTGGGCTGGAGAGATGGCTCAGTGGTTAAGAGCATTGCCTGCTCTTCCAAAGGTCCTGAGTTCAATTCCCAGCAACCGCATGGTGGCTCACAACCATCAGCAATGAGATCTGGCCTCTTCTGGCCTGCAGCATACACGCAGACAGAATGTTGTATACTTAATAAATAAATTTTTTAAAAAAAAAAAAAGAAAACTGATGAAAAAAAATGTGTTAAATCTGGGCAGACACTGTTGGCTGTGCAAGCCTTTGAGCCTGAAGTTTGCTTTTTTAAGTTTATCGTTGTATGTGGGCATGTGCACCATGGCATGAGTGTGAAGCTGGAGGACAACTCTGTGAGCTGGTTCTCTCCTTCTACCTGTGCATGGGTTCCAGGATCCAACTCAGGTTGCCAGGCTGCATGGCAAACACTTTTACCTACTAAACCATCGCACTAGCCCCAAGTTTGCTGTGTTTTTCAAATGAGATTAACAAGGGCAATTGATATGAGTCAAGTGGATAAAAGTGCTTGCTGCCAAGGCTGGTGACCCGAGTCACCCCCAGAACCCTCATGGTGGGAGGAGAGAACCAATTCCTACAAATTGCCCTCCACACACATGTTGTGGCATGCACACACAAAAACAAAATAAGCATTTTTTATTATAATAAGGTTAATAAAATTTTAAAATTAAAATTTCCAGGTGTGAAATAGGATTGAGTATCTTTCTTGGAGTCAGAGAGATGGCCCAGCAGTTAAGATGATCTAGGTTTGGTTCCCCCACTCATGTGGCAGCTCACAGGAATCTCTAACTCCAGTCCCAGGGCATCCAGTGCCCTCTTCTCTCCTCATGGGCACAGCATGCGCATGATGCACAAACAAAACATGTGCAGGCAAACACCCGTAAAAATAAATACATTTTAAAAATTAAAAAAAAAAAACAGAAAGTGCCATTCTCCCTGTAATCTCAGTGCACATGCCTGCTAATGTCTTCTTCTATAAGTAACTCTTGACTTCCTTCCTCTAGGAACACTGCCTGGACTAGAGCAAAGGAGGTTGTGAGAGGAATGGAGTGGGGCCTACTTGTGCTGAGGGTCCCTTGAAGACTCAGTCAGGGAGAGCTGGGGAGGGAGGGAAAGGGTCCAGCACAACAGCCCTGCTCACATCCTCACTCCCTTCTCATCCCAGTTGCTGGACCTGATGCACACCCTGCACACTCGGGCAGCCTCTATCTACAGCTCCTGGGCAGAGGAGCAACGCCACCTGGAGTCAGGTGGCCAGAAGATTGAAGCCGATTCACGCACTCTCTGGGCCCACTGCTGGTGCCCTTTATTACAAGGTAAACCTGGGGAGGGATGCAAGGTGGGACAGGTGACATTGAAGCCTGCAGAGCACCAAACCCTGCTCTTACTCTCAGGTATTGCCTGCCTATGCTGTGACGCCCGGCGCCAGGTGCGGATGCAGGCGCTGACGTATCTACAGCGAGCACTTCTGGTACATGACCTACAAAAGCTAGATGCCCTGGAATGGGAGTCCTGCTTTAACAAGGTAGGACTTCTTACTTGTCTAAGAGAAAGTCCAAACCATAAGGCAGAAAGAGTCAGGCACCCTAAAAAGCTCCTTCCATCCCCCAGCATCAGACGTTCTTTGTTGTTCTGTGCCTATCCGCCCGGGCCCAGCTTCCCTGGGACAAAGTTGTTCAACTGACTGAGCTAACATTGGATGTTTACCTGCCAGGTGCTGTTTCCTCTACTGACCAAGCTGTTAGAAAATATCAGCCCTGCAGATGTTGGTGGGATGGAGGAGACCCGGATGAGGGCTTCCACACTGCTCTCAAAGGTACTGCTCAAAACCCTGCATCCACCTCCTCTCCCATTCCTGACTTTTCCCCCAGAGAAGTCAGGTCTTCTCATAGGGCCCAGAGGTGACATATAAGTGCTCAGAACCCCAGCCATCGAGGCTGCTCAGGAACTCAGAGGGGTCTGGATTTCAGAGGAACCTCTGATTAAGTACTTGCAAGTTGGGGCCAGCTTCCTTCAGCTTTAGAGAGAGCCACAGAAGGTTCCCCCACTATCCTTGGCTAAAAGGGGCTGGCTGGTGGGCTCTAGGTTTTCCTGCAGCACCTGTCTCCACTGCTGTCGCTGTCCACCTTTGCTGCCCTGTGGCTCACCATCCTGGACTTCATGGACAAGTACATGCATGCAGGTTCCAGTGATTTGCTGGTATGTTCTGCCTTGGCCCCATTCCCTCTTCCACATGCTGAGAAGACTTGCTATTTGCCCTTCATGGCTGCCTCCAACTTACCTCTCCTGTTCCATGGTCCCTCTGCTGCCTATAGTCAGAGGCAATCCCTGAGTCTCTGAAGAACATGCTCCTGGTGATGGACACAGCAGAGATCTTCCACAGTGCAGATGCGAGAGGAGGCGGCCCCTCTGCCCTCTGGGAGATTACCTGGGAGCGCATTGATTGCTTTTTGCCACACTTACGTGACGAGCTCTTCAAGCAGACTGTCATCCAGGGTAGGGGTCTGCTCTGATCTCAGAAGGAATCCTCAAGGCTGAACTTTTTCTGTTCACTGGGAGGATGGGCAGATTAGTGGCTTCCCACTGGTCATGGTGATACATGCCTATAGTCCCCAGTACTTAGGAACTGAAGGCAGGAGTCCAGAGTTAGGCCTTCTTCGGTTTCAGGTATATGTGAGCTAGCCATGGCTACCTGAGACTCTGTCACAGGGGGTGTTGGGGATGGGGTTAGCCAGGATCCTGCAGGAAAGAAAGTACTGAGAGTTGCCATCTGGATTCTCTGCCCCAGACCCCATACCCATGGAACCTCACAGCCAAAAGCCTCTGGCCTCCACCCACCTGACTCCTGCTGCTGGTGACCCCAGGATGCCCGGCCATCCACCTTCCCCAGAGATACCCTCAGAAATGGGGGCCTGTGGTGAGTTCCTCAGAGATGGTTGGTTAGAGAAAGCCTAGAAAGATGCCCGGTGTAGTTTAGGATTACTGCTGGAATGGAGCTGGGAGACTGGGAAGAAGTCAGGGTGAGAAGCCTGCCTGCCGGCTCCTCCTATGGGAAACAGCAGGACCAATTACACTGTGATAAGGTTTCTAGGCTGGGAGGAGAGGGCTGCGTCACTATACAAGGCCTGTCAGGCCTAATGATCCAGACCAAAACTGACCTGACTGAGGAGCACAGGAAAGGAAGAGGCTAGAGGCAAGGTAACTGCATCCTGAGTGAGTTGTGGGCTTTTTATATTGGTAGATGAATGCATTTTGTTGCACGTGAATGTGGAAGCAAAATTGAAACTTAAGTTCTTTTGTGTTTTAATGTATTAAGAGGAGTTTCACCTGAGAGAGAAGAGTTGGGAGGGACAGAGGTCTGAGAAGTCCACTAGAAGTCTGACTACAACCGCCTTTACTTTCCTTACAGACTCGGAGAAGCCTGAGGGTACGAGAGCCCCCAGCAGCAGCTCTCCCACGGCACCAGTGGCCTCTAGCCCCAGCAGACTGAGTCCTTCCCCAGAGGGCCCTCCCTCACTGGCCCAGCCCCCACTAATCCTACAGCCACTGACTTCCCCACTGCAGGTGGGCGTGCCGCCCATGACACTGCCCATCATCCTGAACCCCGCCCTCATCGAGGCCACCTCCCCAGTGCCACTCCTGTCCACACCCCGTCCTGCAGACCCTATCCCCACCTCTGAAGTCAACTAAGACAGTCCTCGGAGATCGGGACCACTACTTCCCACCAGACGTTCCAGTCTCAAGAGCCACAGAAATCTTCAGGCCCAAAGCAAGCTGCTATTGCTACTACTTGATGGGGGAAATGAGAATTCTTATTTCATTCAGTGCTGGCATCCACTTCAGGCTGCAAGACTCTTCCTCTACTGTCCATTCCTGAACTTCCAAGCTGAGAGTGGACACAGGCATAGCCCGTAGCCTCTGCTTTGAGCCTGGCAGCCCTGGGAAGGCATGGAGCCAACCCTGCTGTGCCAACCCTGCAGTGCCTGCCATTTGCCCCTCTGCCAGGTTAGGCATTAAGAGCCAAGCCCAACCACTCTGCACTTTGTTCCTCTCCATCCAGTCCCATCAGCCCTGGGCCACCTCCTCCAGTTCTTCTTCCTTTACTAAATAGTTAGTCAGTTTGGAGTTGCTTGGCACCGTGGAGGGTGGGCAGGTAGGACTTGATGGGGGTCTGCCCATAGGAGCATGTACATATGGAGAATAACACCAATGGACTTTTTATGATGTAATAAATATATTAGTACCAACACATTTCCTATTCCTCTGGCTTTCTTTTGCATTTGTGTCAGGGTACTATGTTATTGGATATCCTGTCCAAGGCTTGCTTGGGCCTTGGATAAACCGGTAAAGTGAAGCTGAACTTAACATCGTAGAGGCCTGGTCCACCTGACCTCCCCCCTCCCCAACGACCAGCCAGAGGCTTCCCACTCACCATCTGATGAAGGAGCTGTGTCAAGGGCTTAGGCAGTCTTAGGCAGTTTCATAATTGCTCCAAGAGAGAACCTTAAAGCCTTCCAGGACCATAGGGCAGGTAAGTCAGAGCAGTTGTAGCTGCCCAGAAGTCTTTCAGATAAGCCTCATGGCCTGAGATTACAAGGAGGCCGTGAGGCTGGACAGGTGGACGGCCATCCTGCCCACAGATGGAGTCGTGTTTCTGGGCACAGGCTATCAGCCTGAGTCCAAACTGTAGGACCTCCCGTTCCCAGCCCCACACCTTCCACCTACCCTAGTCACCTAAATGCGATTGAAGGGCCTCTCCCCTTGACCTTTGCATCACGATAAGGCTGGCAGGACTGCCCGGGGCAGGCCCTCCAGGACCAAGGCACGACTGGGGACAGCACCGACTGGGGACGGCACTGTGGCTCAGAGGCAGTGCTTGCCTGGGCTCCTGTCCAGCCCTGCAGAGCCAAAACAACAGCAGTAGCTGAGTCACTTCCTACACAGTGCTGCCTGCCCTCCCAGGGGACAGGTGTGGACCTGCGGACCTGCTGGCCTTGCTCCTGTAGCCCGCTGTCTACACAGCTTTTCAGTACCCAGTCTTCCCTTTGCTGGCACTTGTATACCGCCCGAAGCTGGAGCCTCTATAAATATATTACTCCTGTGATGAGAAGTGAAAAGCACCCAAGAGGAGGAAGTTTTCATAAAACATGAACTAGTTTCTCTTCTTTCCTTCTCACCCAGGTCTAGACCAGGCCTAATTTCCACATGAATCAGAAGCCTGGCCCAGCCCTGCCCCTGGGAAAATTAGGCACTAAGTACTCAATGGGTGATGTAGAAAAGCCAGTTCATAGTCAGCTAGACACCAGGGCCCTTGCCTCAGCCCCCATCTCTCCCATCTGAGCCCACAAGCTCTGCCCCAAAAGCACCTTACATTTCCCTGTGGGAGTGGGGGGACATCTAGGGCCCTGCTATGTTTTCCTAGCTCAATATACAGAAATGTCTATTTGCTGACAGACTAAAGAAATTCCACCCAAGTCTAGCCTGGTAAAGAAAGGAGTTTATTGGGGTGACTTAAAGGAGCACAGGTGAGCAGGTGTAGCATGCTTTTTTTTTTTTTTCCTGAACACCAACCAGCTCCTTAATCATGACACAGAGACTTAATATTAGTTATGAATGCTCGGCTTTGTCTTAGACTTATTTCTTGCTAGCTCTTGTAATAATTGAACCTGTTTCTCTTCATGTTTTGTCTTGGGTCTTTTTTCATTCTGTACATCCTATTCCATGTCTGGTTGGATGGCAGCTTCCTGGCTGGCCCTGGGCATCCATCCCCCTCTCTTTCTCCCTTGTTCTCCCTCCTTTTTGACCTAAATTCCTCCTCCTACTCATTCTCTCTGCGCTCAACCCTCTACACACTAGCTCTGGCCACTCAGCTTTTTACTAGATCCATCAGGTGCCTTAGGCAGGCAGGTGAAACAGGAACACACTTTTACGCTGTTAAAGTCGAACTCCACAACTCTCAGGCGCCTGTGCCACCTGAGAAGCCCACTCCAGCGTGGGTGATGGTTCACAACAGCCTCATCGCTAGGGTCCCAACCCTAGACAACCTTCTACCCCTTTCATAGACCATGAGTAGCTGGGACAGGACTCTGCACAGGCAGATGGGAAGTGGTAGCTGAACCCTCAGGTGAGGCTCTCTATCCTGCTCCCTTCTGGGAGCAATGTTCACAGGCCTGGAGCGCCTCTTCTAGGAGGGATGCTCCCCAGCCTGGTTCCCTGCCTGAGTGTTCCCCATGAAGCTACTGTGACTCCAAGACAGCACTGGTCCTCTCCAGCTTGGGGGACAGAGTTGCACTAGGCCAGCCTATGAAGAAAAAGGACACCTGTATGTCTCTCAATTAGTCTCACCCAGTAGAGAAGATGCTGAAGGACTTCAGGCTGACCCCCTGCTGGGAAGCAAAGAAAACCATTTGTGGGGACTGGAGACAATCCCAGCACCCTCCAGCTCCACGGGATCTGATGCCCCCTTCTGGCCTTTGCATCACCTGCACACAACCACAGACAGACAAGCACATAATTAAAAACAAATCTTTTTTAAAAAGGAAAAGAAAAATCACTCGCCAGAATTGCCCTTCTATTATAGAAAAGAACAGCTGAATCATGACAATAATATCTCCTCTAAGAAGGCAAAAGTGGCCGTGAGAGGAAGCTTCAATTCTGACCAACAAGGACAGCAACCTTGGTGCTGTAGAAATGATAGGATCCTTGGGGAAAGCCACAGCCTGGTCTGGAGGACAATGCTTGTCTCCCTTAGAGGTCAACGAGAGTAGATTTCAAAAATGAGACACCCATGAAGTCTCGCCTCACCAACATGGCTGCTTGACCTGAACCAACCAATGAACACACTACCATGGAAGGAGAGAGTTGAGGAAGCCTCGACCCTAGGCAAGAAACTATGGGCAACTGGAGGAATACAAGAGCAAGAGAAACGTCTTCCTCAGGAAAGAGGCTCCCAGTTCCAGGATAGGCTCCAAAGCTACAGAGAAACTCTGTCTTGAAAAAAAAATAAAACAAAACAAACAAAAAGAGTACATGAATTTGAAAAGGAGCAAGGAACTTCATGGGGTGGGGAGAGGGATTGGATGGACAAAAGGAAAGAGAGAAAGATGTAATTATAAATTCAACAAGTAATTTTCTTTTTACATCAGGGTTTCTCTGTGTAGCCCTGGCTGTCCTGGAACTCACTCTGTAGACCAGGCTGGCCTCAAACTCACAGAGATCTGTCTGCCTCTGCCCTCTGAGTGCTGGGATTGAAGGTGTGTGCCAGTACCACCCACCAAGAAATATCTTGCCATTTATCACACAAGCTAAAGAAAATATATTTTAAAATGACCAGAAGAAAGCTGGTGATGGATCCGTGACACAAGACCCTCACACTAAGCCGGGCGATGGTGGCGCACACCTTTAATTCCAGCATTTGGGAGGCAGGGGCAGGCAAATCTCTGTGAGTTTGAGACCAGCCTGGTCTACAGAGCTAGTTCCAGGACAGGCTCCAAAGCCACAGAGAAACCCTGTCTCGAAAAACCAAAAAAAAAAAAAAAAAAAAAGAGCCTCACACTGAAAAGTGACATTGCTAGAGCAATGGGTGTGTCGGTGCTGGTTTGCCTGAGCATCCTGTAGAAGTGTTTTCCACAAGTCTGAAGCCAAGGCTTGGAGCATGGATCAGACCCACTTCTGTCTCCAGTCTTCCTGTTCCTTCCTGTGAAGCTTCTACATCCTAAGAGGTGGTGGTAGTGCCGGAACTCCACATATACCAAGAATACATGTGAACATTCTCATGCAAGATGATATAAGGAAGGATAGCTGCAGAATGAGCCGCATGGTACACACCCACCTGCTAGGAACAACAGAGCTGAGGTTAACAGGGCACAGGCTGTTCAGGGCTCACTGGCTGGGCAACAGTAGCCAAGGGGTAGCAGAACTAGTAGTTGAGTCTCTAGAGAAAAGGACGTTCACCACAGCAGCTGTGTAGGCGGAGTTTTCCATCAGGACCATCAATCAGCTCTGTCCCACCAGGGCTCCCAAATAACCACACAGGGACTTAATATTAGTTATAAATGCTCGGCTGATAGCTTAGGCTTATCTTAAGCTAGCTCTTAAAAAAAAAGGATTTACTTATTTATTATGCATACAGTACTCTGACCAGAAGAGGGCGCCAGATCTCATTACAGATGGTGTGAGAGCCACCACGTAGTTCCTGGAAAGTGAACTCAGGACCACAGGAAGAGCAGCCAGTGCTCTTAACCGCTGCGCCACCTCTCCAGCCTTTAAGCTAGCTCTTATGAGTTAAATTAACCCATTTCTCTTCATCTATTTGCTGCCCCGAGGCTCATTTACCTCATCTACATCCTTCCCATCCTGTTTGCTCTGCCTCTCATAGCGTCTTCCCCTGACTCCTGAGACTCCACCCTTCTTTTCCCCAGCATGCTCTCTGCCTAGCCATTGGCCAGCCAATCAATTCTTTATTAACAATGAGAGTGACACACCTTCACAGTGCACAGAAGGGTTATTCCACAGCACAGCGGGCCGTCTGCACTTGGAAATATTCGCCCCTGTTTCTGAGGCATTGGTTTTTCTTAGTTCTTATCCACCCCATTGGCCATGTGGCCTTTTCTGGCCCCTTTACTGGTTCAACTCCACAGTCTCTGAATATTTGAGCATCCAACCTGCTCTCTGTTCTCTCTGGGTGGCACCACTCCCTGGCAAAGCATCGGACACCATCCACTGCGTTGATTTCGTGCCCAGCTTCAGCTTTGTCTTTGTGTGACATACGGGACACTCTTCTAGAACCTATGGCATTTCCAGCCCACTGCCTATCCTATTCAAATCCCCTGCCCCTGCCCCCTACCCCTTTTGGAGACAGTCCTGGAAATTGAACTCGGAGCCTTGCTCATGCTAGGAACATCTCTGGCTCTAAGCCACGGCCCCACCCCCAAAGCTCTTGCTCTACTCCATGTACACAGGCTCCCTGCTCCTCACACATGCCACACATTCCTGTGGGACCTTCGCAGTGTTCAACCCTCCACACACATGGTCGGTCTGTTGTGGGAGTCAGTTGATAAGCCAAGGGTACTGGGGTGACTTAGCTTTATGAGCATGGTCTTCTCTGGCTCATGTTCTGACTGGGACAGTGAGGGAACTGTCCTCTGAAAGGATAGTTGTGAGCCACAGTAACTAGCACAGGTGCACCAGATTGAAGACTATCAACCCTTCATCCACTCAGAGTTAAGAATCTACCAACAGGGCTGGAGAGATGGCTCAGTGGTTAAGAGCATTGCCTGCTCTTCCAAAGGTCCTGAGTTCAATTCCCGACAACCACATGGTGGCTCACAACCATCTGTAGTGAGATCTGCTGCGCTCTTCTGGCCTGTAGACATACACACAAACAGACTATTGTATCCATAATGAATAAATAAATAAATATTAAAAAAAAGTCAGGCCAGGCGATGGTGGCGCATGCCTTTAATCCCAGCACTCGGGAGGCAGAGGCAGGCGGATCTCTGTGAGTTCGAGACCAGCCTGGTCTACAGAGCTAGTTCCAGGACAGGCTCCAAAGCCACAGAGAAACCCTGTCTCGAAAAACAAAAAAAAAAAAACAAAAAAAAAAAAAAAAAAAAAAAAAAAAAAAAAAAAAAAAAAAAAAAAGCCTCTCCGACTCCGAGCCTTAGCTTCATCCACAGTGCAAGTGGATAGTGGTTGGCACCCCGATCTGAAATGGATAGTTCCGTCTATTCAGTAACGCCCAATCTGTAGCCTATGCAAATATCCTAAAAATTAAAAAAAAAATCTGAAATGCTTCCCACCACCTTTTACGATGGTAGCTCGACCTCGTTCATGCAAAGCACACCACCGTTTTTCTGCACTGGAGGAAGTTTGAAATATTCTACTTTGGACACCTTTTGTTGTTGAGATAGGGTAGCTTCAAACTGGGGAATCCTCCTGTCTTGGTCTCACGAAAGCTAGGACTGGAGGTGTGCATCAAGCACGTCCAGTTGGTCTCCCAATTCTAATAGTCCAGACGTCTGTGGTGGATGAACGAGGCCTGAGACTCCCAGTCAACCATATCCTTTTTTTTTTTCTCCCAGCGCACCGTTCCTCCAACAGGTCATCCTGAAAGCCTGTGCGCTTGCAAACCTGCCTCTTACAAAATGAATTGAAAGTCCCGAGAGTCTCCTCCAGAAGCCACGAAACTGAAACAGTTGACCCAGTGTTTCCGAGCACATCCAGAAGGGCCACTAGATGGCGATCTGGAGCTGACCGCAAGATCAGACTCAGTCCACTTCCCTTAACTTCCCAGCTCCGAGGTCCCTGTCCCGGAGGGACCGAGTGTCGGGGCTGGCCCGTTTCCCCTGGGGTTCCCCAGTTTCAGAGACAGCCAAGAACTAGGCGCAGCAAGAGCCGAGGGGCCCCGTGGGCCAGGTCTGGGGCAAGCCTGCGAGGGTGCAGAGATCCGAGCCCCGCACAGCGCTGGCTTCGCCGTCCCGCCTCCCCGGTCCGCAGCAGAACCGGCGCTGGGTGACACCCGGCAACAAGCCCCCGGCGAGCCTTCCCCGTAAGGGGCGCGCCTGCGTCGCTCTGGATTGGCTACAAAAGTCCCGGAGTTAAACTTTCAGCCAATAAAAAAAGGGCATGAGGAGTGACGCACGGGAGCGTCACGGGAATTCCCCCCCTCGGGGGGCCGAAAGGGGCTTTCCCGGCTGGAGCCCAGCGCCGTAGAGCAGCGGCTACCGGTCCAGGGCAGGGCTCGGAAAGAAGTCGGAACCAGAGCCGCCACCACGGTGAGTGGCCGGGTTCACCGGAGTGACCGAGGAATGGAGAGGGAGGGAAGGACGGAGGGAGGGAGGGAGGGGGAATTTAGGGCACAGTCTGGGGCTGGACACCACCTCTGGAGAGCGCGCACTCGAACAGGACACCCTGGCACACATCGCCACGTACGCCTGCCCTCACGCTGGCCTGCGCGCCCCGGGCTGGGTGTCAGCCCCGCACACACGCGCGCGGGCAGAAGTTCACTGGGCACCGACATCCAGGCGTGCACCGCCGTCTGCCCACGCTGACCAGGACTCACCTGTGCGGACGGATGCGCACTTGCACGTGCATGCTGCCACCGCCCGCACTCACCACGCACACCAGACATTAGGGCTGAAACGCCAAGTCCCGGTAACGGACACCCGCGTGTTACAAATGGTTGTGGGGCTGGGGTCTCAGGGGCCGGTGGCCCGGAGCAGGTGCAGCGGGAGAATCTGGGATGCCAAGATGTTCAGGAGTCGCTAGAGACCGTGGAGGGGGAAACTCCTTTCCCCACCCTGCGGCTCGTGTCGCTTCTCTGGGCAGAACCCCGGGGGCCCCACTGGAAGAGCCCCCGCCTACGGGCCATTCGGAAAAGAGGCCTCCGACAGCAGGAATGTCCCCACAAAAGCCCCCGGGTGAATCAGCCGTGTCCTCCACGCTGGCCGAAAATCCCAAGGTTGCTCCAGGCCGCGGAGTGGGGGCGAGGCGGACTAGGCCCCGGCTGAGCCCCGGGGGGCTGCAGCCGCTAGCTGCGGGGGGAACCAGGAACTGCCAGGGCCTCCCGCCCCTCCCGCCGCGGGGGCGGGGCCCCGGCGTCATTTCCAGGCCCGCCCCCTCCGGCTCCTCCTCCCCCTGGTATTTTCGGGACTTTCCTAAGCAGCACTAACTTTCTGCCCCTTCCCCGGCCCGGCCCGGCTCCGGATCTCGACCTCCACCGGATTTTATCCGCCACGCCCGGCCGGCCGGCCGGAGGAGATCAGACCCTCCCCCAAATCTGGGACCCCTCTCCTGTCCACTCCTATCCTGACCTCTCCTCCCTACCCCCTCCCGTGTCTCTCTTCACTTTAGGCGGGCGTCTGAAACTCTGGGAAGCCGAACAAGGGCCCGAAGCCGCCAGCCACAGTCGGGCCTAGCCCAGAGACATGGACAGTTGCTACGGCCCAGTGAGTCACACTGCCTGGCCCTGAAGCCAACTTGTGCCCCTGTGTCTGCTTGTCTACCGAAGGCTTCCCCCCACACACACACACACTCCTCCGCTTCTGCATGTCTCCAAATTGTCTCAGTCTGTCCGTCTGTCCTGTCTGCAAACTTTGCCCAGAAAGGAGCTTCCTCATGGCTTGAGGAGGAGCCAGGAGGAGGAAGGCTCGGTTTCAGCCTCCACCTTCTCTGTCTGGAACAGGGTGTGGATGGCATCCCCGACTATGATGATTTTGAATTCAGCCCCTCCATTGTGGAGCCCAAGGATCCAGCCCCAGAGACAGGTCAGTGAGCCCTTAGCTTCAGGTGTCCCAGAACCTGGAGGAGAGTGAGCGTGTACCCTCTGCCAGGGGGTGGACTTGGGGAGCCTGGCTAAGTGAGGCCCCTCTCCTTCTAGCTGATGGTCCCTATCTGGTGATTGTGGAGCAGCCCAAGCAGGTGAGTGAGCCAGAGGTGTGCGATGGCTTGGGCTTTGGGGACAAGTGGGGTATCCGCCGCGATTGGATGGTTGGTTTGGGCGGGAGGTGTCCAGGAGACACACTGTTGGTCACGTGGTCAGTGATGGCCAGTGGTTGCCTTGTGTGTGTGTGTGGGGGGGTCTCCTGACCTCATTGTCTCTGTCATGGAACCGTCAGCGAGGCTTCAGATTTCGATATGGATGTGAAGGCCCCTCCCACGGAGGCCTCCCAGGTGCCTCCAGTGAAAAGGGCCGTAAGACCTATCCTACTGTCAAGGTGAGCTCAGATGATACTGGGCGGTAGGCTAGGGGACCGTGTGTCCAGGGCCACGACTGACAGTCCTTTGTCCTCAGATCTGTAACTATGAGGGACCGGCCAAGATCGAAGTGGACCTGGTAACACACAGTGACCCACCTCGTGCGCACGCCCACAGCCTGGTGGGCAAGCAGTGCTCAGAGCTGGGGGTCTGTGCTGTGTCTGTAGGACCCAAGGACATGACTGCTCAGTAGGTGGTCCCTGTTCCTAGCCCCCTGGGGATGCTCCTTGCCTGCCAGTCCTAGGTCCCAGCCCGCCTGTGTGGCTGTCATACAAAGGGGAGAGAACCCCAGAGGACAAAGCCAGGCTGAACCTGGCAGTGGGGATGCTGCCTCGGGAAAGAGCTCCGCGGACAAAGCCCTGACTCTTCCTTCTTCTCCCCAGATTTAATAATCTGGGGGTCCTGCATGTGACCAAGAAGAACATGATGGAGATCATGATTCAGAAACTTCAAAGGCAGAGGCTTCGCTCCAAGCCCCAGGGCCTTACAGGTATGGCGGCAAACAGGGCTGTCAGGGAGATGCTTCCAGAGGAGCGGGGCAGAGTAGCCCAGGGCTCACACCCACGCTGTCCACGCAGAGGCTGAGCGGCGGGAGCTAGAGCAGGAGGCCAAGGAACTGAAGAAAGTGATGGATCTGAGTATTGTCCGGCTGCGCTTCTCTGCTTTCCTTCGCGCTAGTGATGGCTCCTTCACTTTGCCCCTGAAGCCCGTTATCTCCCAGCCCATCCATGACAGCAGTGAGTATCCTGGAAGGTGCCCACTGGGAGCGCCTGGGATACCTCCAGTCAATGGAGTTTGAGCCTGGCCCAGCCACGTGAGAGACGAGCGGTCTGAAGCAAGTCTGAGTGTTGGTGAATGAGAATATTGTGTTTCCTGAAGTGTCAAATGACCACCGAGACCCCAGATCCATCAGTGTGGCTCTAACCCATCTCCCATCCTACAGAGTCTCCAGGGGCCTCAAACCTGAAGATTTCCCGGATGGACAAAACAGCCGGTTCTGTGCGCGGTGGTGACGAAGTTTATTTGCTTTGTGATAAGGTGCAGAAAGGTGAGGCGGGAGACCTTGCTGGGAACTGAAAACGTGTGTTATAAGGCTGAGGGGTGGGGCGGCGGGGGC